AAATATGTTTATTTTACTTTTATTCCAACCTTTTATATACAGGGTGTTTGATAGCTGATCATGCAGATGAAAGTTGGAGATAGATTGGGTGTAGCCGAGAAGAAAAGTCATGTACCATAATGTCAAATTGCCAATAGTAATCGAGTTATTAATTAAAACATATGAGCCAACGAGCGCGTAGAGAGCGGAAGGCGACCGCAGTAAGCACGTAGACATTTGATACAGGCAAAGTCAGCGAGTGGCGATAGGCAAGCGCGCGCGGCGAGGGGCAACGTAAACGACAAGAGGCGAGTGCGCGCGATGAGGAGCGGGCGAGCTATAAGGAGAAAGCTATAAAGAAAAAGCTCGCTTGCTTCTCGTCGCGCGCGATCGCCTCTTGTCGCTTACGTTGCCCCTCGCCACGCGCCCTTGCCTATTCCCATTCACTGACTCCGCCTGTATCAAATGTCTACGTGCTTACTGCGGCCGCCCTCCGCTCTCTACGCGCTCGTTGGCTCACATGTTTTAATTAATAACTCGGTAACTATTGCCAATTTGACATTATGGTACATGACTTTTCTTCTTGGCTACACCCAATCTATCTCCAACTTTCGTCTGCATGATCAGCTATCAAATACCCTGTATATATAAAGTGAACCACAATCTTTAACACACATAAAAAAATCCATCAGTAGACCAAAACCTATCTTTTATCTTAACACTGGTATCACTATTATGATCATTGCCAAATTCTTTTTCTACCATTATGTCCTCTTGCAATAAAGTTGATGGTTCGGTTATCTTACTCATCACCACTGGAAATAGTGATGACGATGTGGTTGGTGAAGTTGAACAAGATATATATTCATCATCGATAATATTGTGTATGCATATAATATCACTATGTATATCTTCCACATATTTTACACTTTGTTGTAAATCTTTCTCTTTATGAGTATTTTCTATTGCTGAGCAGTCCTGTGCCTGCTAAAAGGATGCAGTGCTCTGAAAAAAAGAACATTATTTGGAACAAGACATATACAGGGTCTTATAACTAATTTGGCAGAGCTCGTGGAGACATAGAGCGGGTTAAGACAAATATAAAAGTCCCATACCGTTTTGTGAGATTCATAATAATTATCGAGTTATTAATGACAGAAATCTGAGGAATGAGTGCACGTCGAGACGTTATGGGAGGAGCATCTAGCCGCTCAGGCTAAAGAGCACTGCCCAGTCGACAAAGGAACTGTTGCCGGCGCGCGGCGAGAGGAAGGACGACGCGCCAATGTTTATGTCCTTACCTCGCCGCTCCTACATCCCGCCGCACCGCGTCTAAGCTCGCGCCGATATGGCCGCTGAATATTCGCGATTACAATTATGAGATTATTTTATGAGGTACCACAGATAGCTCATATTGAATTGTAAAGTTCAAGATTCAAAAGTTCTTTGATCAAGGAAAACATCGAAAAGGAGAAAGCGATAGAGAGCGATGAGATCTACAGAGATTCTCATCGTTTTCTATCTCAATCTATCGTTTTGCTGCATCGGATCCGAAAGAAATGATATCGCGTAAAGATAGAGTACGATGAACACTTTTCATCGTACTCTATTGTACTCTATCGTTAGGAGAATATTTAATTGTTAGAGTATATTAGAATTCGCGTAGAGACTCATCGTGTCCTATCGTTTTATTCAAGTCTACACGGAAAATATGTTTGGTTGAATGAACCCATTTTCTGACGAAATGAGAGAGAGAGAGAGAGAGAGAACGATTAAGAAATTTTGATTGAAAAAAGCACAATTTTGTTTAAGTTAACCATAAACCTTGATGAATTAGATTCAGTGTTAATATTTTCAGTTAATATTTCTCTGTATCGTTCATATTTCATTTGCAAGCTGTATCATGGACTAAACATTTTTACCATATATCATGCATAAATTGTTGTTTTATATCGTAATTCTTGTCAGTGGTATATTAACGACAGAAGGAACTGAAAGTTCTGTATCATACAATTGCGAAAAGAGGACCATCGTTGTCAATGGTGCTCGGCATAACGATACTCGGCCAACGATACTCGGCATAAAATTAATTTCTAGCTATAATCGCGATACAACGCAAATCCGAGTGTGTTATTTTGACACGTTATTTTTATGCGTGTCAAAATAACACACTTGCGTTGTATCACGATTATACCTAGGAATCAATTTTATGCCGAGTATCGTTGGTGTACCATTGACAACGATGGTCCTCTTTTCGCAATTGTATGATACAGAACTTTCAGTTCCTTCTGTCGTTAATATACCACTGACAAGAATTACGATATAAAACAACAATTTATGCATGATATATGGTAAAAATGTTTAGTCCATGATACAGCTTGCAAATGAAATATGAACGATACAGAGAAATATTAACTGAAAATATTAACACTGAATCTAATTCATCAAGGTTTATGGTTAACTTAAACAAAATTGTGCTTTTTTCAATCAAAATTTCTTAATTGTTCTCTCTCTCTCTCTCTCTCATTTCGTCAGAAAATGGGTTCATTCAACCAAACATATTTTCCGTGTAGACTTGATTAAAACGATAGGACACGATGAGTCTCTACGCGAATTCTAATATACTCTAACAATTAAATATTCTCCTAACGATAGAGTACAATAGAGTACGATGAAAAGTGTTCATCGTACTCTATCTTTACGCGATATCATTTCTTTCGGATCCGATGCAGCAAAACGATAGATTGAGATAGAAAACGATGAGAATCTCTGTAGATCTCATCGCTCTCTATCGCTTTCTCCTTTTCGATGTTTTCCTTGATCAAAGAACTTTTGAATCTTGAACTTTACAATTCAATATGAGCTATCTGTGGTACCTCATAAAATAATCTCATAATTGTAATCGCGAATATTCAGCGGCCATATCGGCGCGAGCTTAGACGCGGTGCGGCGGGATGTAGGAGCGGCGAGGTAAGGACATAAACATTGGCGCGTCGTCCTTCCTCTCGCCGCGCGCCGGCAACAGTTCCTTTGTCGACTGGGCAGTGCTCTTTAGCCTGAGCGGCTAGATGCTCCTCCCATAACGTCTCGACGTGCACTCATTCCTCAGATTTCTGTCATTAATAACTCGATAATTATTGCGAATCTCACAAAACGGTATGGGACTTTTATATTTGTCTTAACCCGCTCTATGTCTCCACGAGCTCTGCCAGATTAATTATAAGACACCCTGTATAATATTGTAGCACAAATAATATGGCATAAAATCTAATGCTTACTTGATCATACGGTAATGCTTTTAAATAGTATACATGATCATCCTCTCTTTTTGTCATTTCTAATAAAAATATTTGTTACATCTTTCGAACATTGTAAGGTTTGTCGAAATCTTTGTACGTTATTACATTGATTTTCATTATCTTTAATTTCTTCTACTTGCAATGAAAGAATAGCAGATATTTTCAGCTTTCGACTTTTATTTCCTCTTGTGTATACATAATCCTCAGGAACAAAATGCAATTGCAACAAAATAGAATATACATGATACACATATCATCAGAAAACATGTTTCAATATTTTATTATTCGTATAAAATACCTCACAAATTCTGCTATTAGGCCCAGTTCCATAACTTGCTTTAAACGGAGTTTAAAGCAAGTTGTGGAACTGGGCCTTAGTCTTCAGAATCCATCCAGTGGTGCGATTCTGTAACTCGTTATTGCAGTTAACGACACTTTCGTTATCGTTGCGCAGCTTTTCTACGGTATACAAAAGCTGCGCAACAATAACGAAAGTGTCGTTAACTCTAATAACGAGTTACAGAATCGCACCACAGGTCGTTTACGAATAATCCAAGCTATACAAGCATTCCGCTGTTCCACATTCTTAGGAAAGTTGTGCATACATATTCTTTCATATTCTGTTGTTGCACACCCAAATACTTCACACACTTTTACCATTGTTTATTTGCTAACTCTTCATTTCAATAACGATGATAAATATCCAATACTACGTATAATCATATAAATCAACTGTGGATCTGAAATCCGTGACTTTTATTGGCGCCGCGGATAGCCAATCACCAAGCTCGCCACCGGTTGCGCTTCTTTGATAATCTAGGGCTTTAATGTAGACGAGCCTTCACACATAATACATAACACATAAGAGAATAAACCAATTAGTTTTCTTCATTTACCTCCTCAGGACAGAAATGAAGAACTCTGATTGATTGATTCTCTTATGCGTTGCGTATTATGCATTATGCAGAAGTCTGTGCTCTGGCCCTTAAACCAGCGGCACACGGTGCTTGTTTTCATGCTGGATTGCTTGCTGGATGAAAATATTGCGTTCTGATTGGTGCATTTCCGAAGATGGATGGAAATGCACCAATCAGAACGCAGTATTTTCATCCAGCAAGCAATCCAGCACAAGAACAAGCACCGTGTGCCGCTGGCTTTAGGCTCCTTATACAATGCCAGGCAACAAGCAATAAGAATAAAAATAGACCAATCACAATCAACTATTACAAGAATAATCTATTGTGATTAGTCTATTTTTATTCTTATTGCCTGTTGCCTGGCATTATGCAAAGGGCTTCACTCTTACAGCTAATGTAGAAGAGCCTAGAACCTAAAGCCAGCGGCACACGGTGCTTGTTTTCGTGCTGAATTGCTTGCTGGATGAAAATACTGCGTTCTGATTGGTGCATTTCCATCCATCTTCGGAAATATACCAATCACAACGCAATATTTTCATCCAGCAAGCAATCCAGCACGAAAACAAGCACCGTGTGCCGCTGGCTTTATTCTTGCAGACAGTGTAGATGGGCCTTAACCGTTATTTTTTATTAGTTCTGAATGTCGTTATAAGGCGCCACCTTCTTTAATGAAGAATCGAGCGCGCAGTGTGATTCGAAGATACGTCAGGATAGTAGTTCTTTAGAGATTTTTATATGTTTTGCCGAGTATATCAATTATTAATTATTAAAAAATATTATTATAATGTTGCTTCAAAACTGCTAATTTATAATAACTTAATATGTGACATTAAAAGTAACCTAATTAAAAGTTAAGGAATTGATACTAGACAGTATAGCTTGTTCCTTGCGTGTAACATTGATGAACGGAATTAGCTTAAGTTAGGTTAACTCCGAGTGTGTTTAAATATAATTATACAAAAACACGATGGAAAATCAAAATGCGCAGTCTGTCAAGAGCAATAATCCCGCTCCGACGGTGGAACAAATCAATGCAGACAGGATTACCCAGGTATATTTTTGTTTTACTGAATTTACATGCAAGAATAATATTCATTTTGTGCAAGATTTTGTTAACAAAACATTTTTGTTTAAGTTTTGTTTCCAGATTGTTTATTATTTTGTATTTAAAATGCTTTTGATTGTTATATTATAGCTTGCGAACAAATATTGGGCACCACATACTACAGACAAGCATTTACTATTCAGTTCTCAGATAGTGGAAGAAATTTATATACAAGAAATATGTACGTCAAAGTTCTCCATTAGAAGGATTATGATGTTGGAGTTTAGCCAGTACCTGGAAAATTTTCTATGGCCTAATTATAATGCAGAGAATGCTGCGAGAGCACACACCATGTCTATTGTTGTTATGGTAAATGAAAAATTTAGAGAACGAGTGCAAGTCTGGGAAGCATTTGAAAAAAATTCAACGCATTTTGCTGGATTCTTTCAAAAAGTTCTGGAAGCATGTCTAGAAAAGAGCATAGCAGACTTTGAGTTGAAGGAACAGACAGCATTGATAGTGTTTTTGAATCATTGTTTTAATTCAATGGAAGTATCTTTAGTTAGAGAAGAGGTGAAAAGATTGGTCTCATTGCCAATGTGGATTTCCTTGCAACAAGGTAGAAGAGAACTAGAGTTTAGAAAATATCCTAAATGGAGAAAATATTGGAAAATTATAAGGAAAAAGGATGATCCAGAATATAAAGAAAAACTTGAATGGGAACGTAGGTTTTTGCACAAACTGATGATAAAATTTATGACAATATTGGAGACAATTCCTGCAGAAGGTATATATCTTTTAATTATATTATCTAATTTATTTTATTTTTGAAAGATGAAATTAGGGATTTTATAGGAATTTAGACTCTTCTACTTTTCTTGCTTACATAACAAATTGCAATAGCATCGAATGATTATTTTTAATTATATATTTTTATTTTTTGTAGGAGTTGTACTAGCAGACAAAGTGCGCTACTGCGAAAGATTTTTGGAGCTGATTATTGACTTGGAAGCTTTACTTCCTACCAGACGTTTCTTCAATACTGTTATGGATGACAATCATCTGGTGGTGCGCTGTCAGCTGTCCAATCTGCTACATCGTCCAGAAGGTAGTCTGTTTGGCCAGGTGAGTCTTTACAAAATATTGCAAAGAAACATAGTTTGGACATATGAAATGATTCGGGGCATTGATTCGAATTTATTTACCAAAGATTTATATTTCTCTCATGTACAAAAATTGAATTGACATACAGATATAAATATTACACAAACATACTATTAAAAGTACAATATCATTTAAGGCTTCGTCACATATATTTAACTATATTGCGCAATACGCCTGCATACGCTTGAACACTATCCATTGATAATTAGTGATATTGCACAATATAAATGACTTTATCTTTAAAATCAGTACATTTGTGAGGACATGATATGTCTTGAACATCGATACATGCAAGATGCTAGTAGACGTGTCAGAATGACGAAGCGACAGAAATGCAATTGTCGACAAGCAAATATCTTGATAAGGCAAGAAATTGATTTTGTTTTAAGGCACATACAATCACCAAAAGTGAAATATCTTTCGGAGTTCTCTGAAAACGTGGTATATAATTTCGCTAGTGCCATTATTTTTGTGCATCGACTTGAGCATGATGATTGATCGGTTTGCGTATAATCTCGCATAATCTCGCGTATTACGATTTCCTAAGAATTCCCTTTTAATTTGTGAAATTGCCCAATTTCTCGTACGCTCCCAATTTGCATATTACTCTGATTTCACGCATCGTTATTTACATTACGTATTGCCGTATTTTTACATTCCAGTATTGTCTCGAGTATTTATACGTATACTTTTTACACGTTTTGCTGGAACGTGTCGGGGCTATCTCTCTATACAATAACGTCATTACACTTATAATACTGTTTCTTTCTCGAGCAAAAGACACAACCACGCAACTCTTACAACTTTACAATGCATTTTGGTTTCAAGACATACGGAGTGATCTGAGGAAAGATCGTAGAATTCAGGTACATGCTATATTCGCAAAAACCAACAAGAAGAAACAACTGATCAGTGCAAATTGACTTCGCAGAATTTACTTTAAGACGGATGATCTTTTCATGTGATTGGGTAACTGACGCATGAAAATGTGAGTCGTGGATCAGTAAAGTTCATCTTAATCGAAAAAATCAGCCGGTATTTCTTCTTTCAATTCACGCTGATTAGATATTCTTATTATCTGTTTCTGCGAGTACTGCGCGTCCTGAAATATTTCGAGTCTTCCCTTGAATTACCCTGTACACGTGTATATCTATCGTACGCATGTGATAAAATTTACGAAAAGTATACAGTGACGAGCTATGACTTGAAAATAAATCGGGACGGGTTTCTTGAACGCGACCGATATGAAGAATATATTTTCAATTCGATCGTAATCGTACGAACGTGCATATACGATCCTTATCACTTGTGCTTGGACGATCGTACGGAATGTTTCTCTCGTTACGTATCCTGTGCGTAATTCGCGTTACTCCTAGTCTTCCCCACGTATTGAGGGACGAGTCAATAACCGGCATTGATGGCTGTCATTTCCTCGCCCCAGTCGAGGCCCTCGGTGTTGTCGCCGGAACTGCAGCAGTTGCACGTCTTTCCGAGTAAAAACGTGACCCTGCGCTGACCGAATACGCAGACATAGAGCACGAGCAACGCCTGCAACAGATTCACGACGATGTGGCAATACACGAAAGCGTCATATTTGAGCTGCGACAACAGCAGCGAGATCCAGCCGGCGCTCAAGATCGCGTACAGGAAAACGAACATCCTGAAGCTGTACTTCATCTTGTGATGAATCCGGCCGTAGGTGCTCATCCGCTTGATCCGGTTGGCCGTGGTCAGCACGAGGCACAGGTTAATCACGACAGTAAAAGCGATGCACATGAATATCACGGTGATGCCAAGCCAACCCACGGTTTCCTGCGCGGGATAAGTCGTGCCACCCACGACGGACTTGTTTGTCTCCAAAGCGAAGTGGGCGAACATCGCGGTGCCAGCGATGCACACGGTCAGGCCCCAGACCCACGACGAGTAATAGCAGTATTTCTTGCCGTCGGTTACCCGCAGGAAGACGTTACGCGACCTGAACGTGTTCCACACGTAGTAGCCGAGAGCGCTGAGCCAGAAGAAAGCTGCCATCAGAGAGACATACATCACCGTGTCTGAAAAGGAAAAACGGAAATATGCATTTTGCATTCTGAACATAGCGGACTAAAGTTTAACAAGAAAGTTCAAATGGCGGCTCTCTGTTGCTATCGTTAATTGGACTTTCCGTTTTGCGTGCAGAGCGCGTTGACTGCGCTCGTATTAAGTTCGTGACTTACGCCAAGCCTTAACACGTTGAACGCCGCGACACGCTCACTAGCGACCGCTATAATACCACCGCGTCTTATCGAGTTACGTATAATGTATCGTTAATCGCGTTTGAAAAATTGCGGCTGTATAGCCAATAGAGAATCTACAAAGCTAGATGAGAGTCGCTAGATTTAGATTTAGATTTAGATGTCTTTCACATGGAATACTCATTTAATTTGTCGGCAATTCTATTTGGAGGATGCTGACGCTTGAAGCGTTCTTCAGATAGAACGCTTTTGAAAAAAATGTGGAAAATACTTGGTTCTCACCAGAACCTGTTTCCTGTTTATGGGAAAAGACTGCTGAATCAAACTGATGCGTCTCGAGTTACATTCATCCACCATATATGTTGGATGATTGAATCTTTAATAAAGTTTATGTACAATCAAAGGAAATCAGCGCGACGGTCAACGTCTCTCTTAGCGTCACGAAGACGCTCAATGTGTCTCGCAGACGGAATTGAAAGACTGATGATGAATTAAACATTCGTGGCATCTCTCGCTTTATTTAACGGGAAAACAGATTCGTTCTCCAAGCAACATGCCTGGATGTCTGTGCATGCGATGGATGTCTGAATCGCCTATGCGTACCAGCGATCAGGAAGCTGATGTGACTGCCGAACTCGGTGAATATCCTGACAGTGGAGGCACATTGATTAGCCACGAGGCACAGAGCCATGCTGGTGATGATGTTGCCGACGAGGTCGCGCAGCTGCGGTAACACAAAGTAAACCACCGCGACAACCAGGTAGCAGGCCATGGCTATGGCGTGGAAGGCGGGATCTACCGCGTGCGTCAGGAGGTAATTGGTATCCGACCACCGCACGGCGACTGTGGGCACACACAGCATCGCGTATGTGGCCACCAGATGATCACTGTTCAGCACAGCCTTGTCGGTGCAATAATGACCGAACTGGTAATCGTAGTGTATGCTCACGGACTCGTCATCTTCGTCATCTAAGTTCGACGACGCTCCACCGCCGTAGACACCTCGTTTCTCGTCCATGCCGTTGGCCAAGTCGACGATGTAGTGGCGCAGCACACCGGACGATAAGATCGCCAGGCGATCCGGTCCGGTCGGATAATAGTACACGTGCCACTGATGCTCGTCGGAGGCGCACCGGGGCCGTCCGATCTTTAGCTCGTACTTGGGCTCGACGAACTTGGACCTGGCCAAGGCAAATGACGGACTCTGCTCCGTGAACTCCGGCCGCCACTTGGACTCATTGGTCTCCTTCAGCGACCTGCACCGGTCGTCCACCAGTATCTCTTCAGGCTCGCAACACTTGCCGATGTACACTACCGTGCCAGCAGCACTGCCACCACCGACGCCGACGTCGGTGGCCCGCGTCTCGGCGTCGGCGGTAGTGAGTGTCCTCGTGCTTACAGCCCAGATGATCGCGAGCAATGTCAACAGACTCGTCGTTGGATACATGACGCCAGGACGCGCACGCGGGCTTCTACTCACGCTCTCACATTCGCCGCATCCGCTGCTCGCTCGCTCGTTCCTTCGTCGGTCGTCTTTAGCGGAGAGGAAGTCGCCGCCGCGTTTCCCTCTCTCTCCCTCCCCCCCTCTCTCTCCCTCTCTCTCTCTGTCTCTCTCTCTCTTTGTCGGTCGGATCGATCGTTTCGCGGAGCACTCTCCTCCTGCTCGTCTGTCCGTACGTCCGTGAGTCACTAACTCATTGCGACAGAATGTCGATGAACGATACGCGCGCCTCCGCATACCTGGCCGCCAGTGTCGCCTGCGTCCTTTCCTACCTGTCTGCTGCCTATTTACCTACCTAACTACCTATCTATCTACCAACCTACCTATCTACCTACCCTACCCTACCCTACCCTACCCTACCCTACCCTACCCTACGCTACCCGTGCCAAAGACCGCCGCCATAATATTCGTGTTCCTCGTCGTATCCAACTGCTACTCGCCCTCCTCCTTCTCCCCACTGTCATTTCTCGTCGGCCTCGAGCGAATCGGCTTCCTATTTTGCCTGTCTGTCCTGCAGCGTGTCGCCTGCGAGACGCACGAGAACACACACAAGAACACGCATCGTCACCGCGCTCTGTTTTCGTTGCTGACTCATTTTTGCCATTATACGATTTTAATTTATGCAAAATCATGCGTTGAGCACATATGAGACTTCGGGTTTTAAAAGCGGTTTTACTCATCTATTTTCGCCTTTCTTGCAAAATAAAGTGTCTGCAAGAGCTGGACGCTGAATTTATTGGCGCAGACATTACGCATAACGTTCGTTTCTTATTAGATATTTTATTTCGCTAATTTCGATCGCAAGGTTTTTTGCTCCATTTTCCTATTTTCTGGTGACTACTGGTGACTTGATTCAGCTAAACGACAATTACGACGAGTTTTGCAGTCTGCAGCTTCACATTTGCAGCACCTAGTATTCAAGGGTTGAATGAATATCGTTTACTTGTGGATTCAGGACGATATTGATAAAACGATGGAACATCTGGTCGAAATGTCGAAGGATTATCAGCGTACGATAGCGATGGCGGATGCACGACATCGGAAACCGCGAATAATTCGATCGATCTTCTTGTTTTTTTTTAATCTTGACATCAGCGACGATTGTTGTTGTTGACCCTCGTCGAAATGCGCACTCAAGGTGTATCCGTTTTTCTAAATGCGGCGACTCCGCCTTATCAAAATTATTCTTATCAAAATTATCATTATCTCTTGACCTCTATGGCGCGTAACATGTGTGCAATCGCAGGGACGATCCTCCGCGTGTGACACGCGTTCTGGCAATCTTATCCGCGTCACAAGTGTTACTTTACGTAGAATGATTACTAGCAACGGATTGCGAAATAACAGAAGATAGTACTTTTTTTCTTTTTTCAAATAACAGCGTTAATAAGACATACAAGAGTAACTCTGAGCTGATCTTCATCCTTATCCAAACGACTGCTCGATCACGCGCGCACGTTGCTTTATTATTAAGTCGTTCCGACATTATTGTAGAATCGCATAAAAAAAGTGCAGGCAATATCCATTCGGGTCAATGTCAAGAGGCCTCGGTACTTGAAGAATCGCGAGAAAAATGATCAATTGCGACCGATGACTCCGTTTTTTGCGCAAATATGCATCGATACACCGCAAATCCAACTGTGATATTTTTACATGTGTAAATATATAATCTGACTGAAGCTCTTTTTGCCGTTTTAAATCACGTCATATGATACGCCTAAATGTATTAAATTATGTTGTAATTTAATTATAAATTAGATATTGTAAATTAAAAAGTTATAAAACAAATTATAATTTAATTTATAATTCCCAAATTATATGTATCCCCGAAACTTCTTAAGATGTGAAAAGAATTTCAGCCAAAATAATACACTAAGATATAAAGTGTGCGTCATCGCGATCACACCTGCGCGCTTCGCTAGAATCTTGCGATTTCTTTCTCTGAATCGCCGTGACCACTCAATTTCTGGCTTCCGTGATTGAAATCAGGAACTATACTACCGTGGGCAACAGGACGATGTTTCGGGATACTTCGTACAATTTGTATCATCGAGCACGATATAAGTGGGTAATGCGTGATGAATTACGCACGAAATTAACTGAAGTAGGACGGAACAACGCGATACGATTGATGATGCCTCAATGCTTACGGAAATGATTTTTTTTTTCTTTTTTGTTTCTGTAAAGCTATTTTCGTGATTTATTCGTGGGGCGGGAACAAGAGATCTCATTATTAGATATTTAAAATTGGTACCACGCGCTGCGATATATACATATGTATACATACGCAATGTCGCGACTTTTAATTCGCGGACGGTAAGAGCGTTCGATAGCCTTCGAATCGTCACCACAAGTGGCCTTAATCGTATTTACCACCCGACAGTTCGATGTATGTGTGCGTATGCGTCCGATATTATTTTATCGGTCGATATGTTCTGAATTTTCGGGAGAGCTCATTGATGATTTCCTGCCTTTTTCAAAAATACTTGTCACACTCGAACGTTCCTCTGTTTGCGCGCTCCCACAAAAATTTGACATGTGTGTATCGCAAGCGGCTTTCTCTTCTTCGATAGATTTATATTGGAAGAATGAACGAGATTACACGCGAGTGTTTCGATCGGTTCGATCGGGGATTAATGTCAAAGGTTAATGTCTGATTCTCGGCATTTGCTTACGCAATGTTTACGAAAATCTAGACGCGCGCGTGAGTGCAATGAATAACTCACATACGCAAAAATGTTCGCGATGATATCGCTCCGCTCGATAATGGAACTTAGCACGAAAAGGCGACGAGATGTACGAATGATAGAGCGAATTTATGCGTTTTTCGCGGGAAATCGCAGAGACATGCGACTCAGAGTCATGACGCGTTTCCCGCGGGTGAGTGAGTGAGTGAGTGAGTGAGTTACGCGATACCGTAACTGAATCACGACTGAATCCGCGACGATCCGATTTAATCACGAGACGTAGTAACATTACGCATCTCATGAGTAATCGTGTATAATCGTGTACAGATTGTTCTCTTTATATTTCTAACATTTTCACATACGAACAAGTCGTTCGTTCCGACTCATTGTTACATAACATACGGAGATTCTTGGACAAAACATTATCGCGCGCCTTCGCCTTCGTCTTCGTCGGTTTCCCGCTATGCTAATCGTACAAACAATTAAGCGTATTCTGCCGTGGCTATAATAATCGAAAGCGTACGTACACGCGAATTAATCGACAATAGACGCGACAATAGTCGTGTTGTTATCTGTGCACTGATCATCTATACGTAATATATACGGACAATCTCCGGGAGACTGTTCATCTTTCGTCAATGACAACGTTATTCCTCATATTAAATGCACAGGTACGATATCTTATATCTAATGCGGCACATGTGACGCACAAACTGTCGGAGAGAAAAACTGCGCAAAAGTGTTCGCGTTATCCTTGTTGGGACAGCTCAAGCTCCTCGGGCAGCACGGCCTCGCATTCCTCGTCCTCGTAAGCTGCCCAGGATTTCGGGAAACCGATGCCGCAAGGCCGTTTCTTCGCCAACAGCTTCCTTACCCTTTTCCGCGTCGCGACCAGGAGCAGGAATATGACGAATCCTTGAAGACCGTTCAACAGGTCCGTCGGTATCCTGACGAGAGAAAGTAAACTTCGTTCGATTATGTTAATCCGCGCGGTACACACTAATCGACAAAACAGCGCTAACAAGCGATGGAATTGCGAAAACTTACTGACGAGAAACGATCTTTCTGTTATCATTATCGAAAATACTCATCTGAACATTCGACTACGTACGACACTCGTTTGAAATAACTAAAAATATTTGATTGAGCAGAGATATCTCCGACAGGAATCTTTCTATTTCCAGAAATGAGTTCTCGTTCGCAGTTGCTGGACAACAGAAAATCGGCCACACGAATTGCATTTTTATTCGTGTGTATATACGGTCAGAAAATTCTGACGACCCGCATCGCCTGCCAAGACTATTTTGCCGGCTAATGTACGAGCTGCGTATAACAATGGAAAGATCGCCCACCAGAACTCGTCCATTTTCGTGTCAACGGCGAACGATATCAGCTCGAAGACCCAGGTGATGCCCATGACGAGTATCAGCTTGATATACAGCAAACACTTGAATCGTAAAACTCGCAACTTGCTGCCCGTGTAATCGCGATACTGATGCCACAAACGCCAGCTAGTCAGTCCGAGATAGGTAATATTCAATGTTAGCAGAATAGCGACCGGCCCGTAAAAGTACGCCCATGTTTGCGTGGCGCCTGTGGAAAGCACAATTGTCGCGTTTTATCTCGACTGTTGTGAAAGTCGATGAATCGACGAAGATTTCTGTGTTCTTAACATCCATCTTCGCCGTCGATACATGCAACGATTGACGCTGGAATTTTTCAACGGCGGTCGAAAATTTCGAACGAAGAAAAGGCGGTATAAAAACGAAACGATCAGCACTCAAGGACTCACCGCTGAACCAACAGCTGTTGTCGCCGAAACCTGGTTTCAAGTGTTGGCCCTCTACAAGATGCATCATCAGCGCGGTGATCAAGAAACACGACGGACCACCCCACCCCCAAACACAGTAAACATAGAAAAGTAACTGTTCCTTTACCCTGAAGTTCTTGAACCTGTACAATCGAGGTCGAACAACGGTCAGATTGCGGCGACGCTTGGAGCTTCCGCTCAATCGACACTTACCATACGGCACGCCACACATTGAAGGCCACGATATTCAGCCAGAAGAATGCAGACATGAAGGCAAAGTACAGAATGAATCCTGGAAAAGCGTCGGACAAAATCGCACGGATAAAATCTTGATTCTATAGCGACATCATTGAAAATAATATTTAAGTTGGTAAAACAATGTGTAACGTATTGTAGCTTCAATAATATTACTGCTGAATCGAGAAAAAGAGGCTTTTACTTCTACTACGAAGTTGTTGACTAATTGATTCAACAGCATTTCTTCCGTGCATCTTTTTGTATCAGTAAACAAAACATCAAAAATCATGTACCGAGAGAAACGCAAATAGTATAATCGCCGTCTGTGTTCGGCCGCAAGTGCTGGATTGAGAGGACGGTGTAACTGACCGCCAGGGTAGTGACCGCCGTCATCATCGCTTTGTCCTGAAGCTCTCGTAGTTCTGGTAGTATCACATAAACTGCTAAAGTGGCGATCAGGAAGATGGCCGAGATGATGCTGACGATGCAGACCAAGGTATGCTTCCACGTCATCGAGACACCGTCACTTATCAGCTCTTCGTCGAAACATGTCAGAGCAATGTTGCCGTCTCCGCCTCGTTTCGACTTGGTGATGCAGAATCTGTGCGAAATACACGTAACAATGAACAAAAATGGAAATATCAGCGCAATGTCCTACGTCCCCACGATCAATTTTCTGAAGAGAGAATAAAAATTCAACGAAACTGTGTGCATTTGGGATCTCAGGTGTTCAATTTCTGCGAATTAATTTCGGCCAATGAGAGCCACACACAAGAATGGCGGTAGCGAATAATGTCACGCAGGAGAATAATAATATCGAGACGATATAGAGACATCTTTTCAGCCTGAGGCTGGATCCATCTACACGATGGCAGATACGAGTCCGTCAATTTTCATTGACGTCAGAGTTTATATTCAGGATATTCTAAAGATTCAAGAGTCTACGTCAATCTTTTTTTCTGTTTGTTTTTTTTAATAAGAGTGACATGTGGCGGATACTATGAGTGCTCCAGTACAAAAACCTTGGAGAATATTTTGACGAAAGATTGAGGATTGACGAAGTTCTGTCTACTGCTGCCTAGACGGATAGGGAGAATCTAGCTTTAAACTCTACGTACGTAGGGCCACCTTCCATAATCGACTCTATTCTGCTAAAAATATAAAAATATCTCTCGATGTAAGAAAAACTGTGCGAAACACCGACAATTAATCGACAATTACGTGAGTATCTCATTATGAGGATCTCAGAATATTATTGCGTATTTGTGGGGAATATCCAGCCGGCAAGATTTTCCTCACGCTTTCTCGGTATTCGGCTACTTTCGAGCATTGATCCTCGATATTTCTGATTCTCTGCGAATCAGTATATACACCACAACTGGCGATTTGGCTATCGTTCACGTAGGAAACATGAACTCGTCCACATAGGAAACCACCAACGGAGTGTTACCGAAAACATTACCTGTCCGCCGGAATTTTAATGTTGTCCATATCTAGATGCAACCATGCGGTGTTATCATCCTGGTGAATGATAGTGAAGTTATCGCGCTCGCTCAGCTCGGGGTCGATGATGTAGATGCCGAACGGGCAATTCAACCGGATCTTTGTGCCGTCTGTGCAATTGGCGGAACGTTCCCATGTCTCTCCTTCAGGGCAGCAGGAAACGTCAACGGAGAGACTCGACGAGATTAAGCTTGCAAACAGCCCGAGCCACAGAACCCAGGAAAAACCTATGAAACGTCGCAATATCAATAACATTGTGAATACGCAAAGCGATCTCCGATCTGTTCTCAAGAGAGATCGAGAGCTTGGACTCAGTGAGACTTATCGAGAAAGTACTGAGAAATTAATTTTTGAGACGTATTTGTTCCTCTTAAGATCTTAAGATGTGTCAGCAATAAAAATCTTTCTGATTGAATCAGCAAGAGGAATATTTCACCGATAATCGTTACTGAAAAAAGTAATTTGCAGTGATTAATGACGTTACAAGTAACGCATCTCTTCTCAATCCTGAAAAAGACATCACGGAGATCAAAGAATAAATCGATTGTCTGGCGAGTTTACCGGCCACATAATCAATTGAACGTCGTCGAATAATTGTTGGCTCGTCATTTTTATCTTCATACGTACGATACGAAACAATGTAGTTTTAACGAGAAGTTAATACAATATTACGTATACGAAGTAATATTATGTGCGCATGTGGTTTCATCAATAACTATATGATGCTCAAATGTCCCAGTGTGACGCGCGCATTATTCTGCAAAAAATGCGTGAGTAGCTAAGCAAACGCGGCTACTGATAAAGAATTATTTTGTCGCGTTCATCGAATTCTGTGTCACTCGTACGTGAGTAAAAAATAAATTTCTCAGAAAGATTGCAATAATCTTATTGCAAGGATCGTGTTTACGAAAATAAGTGCGATTTGCACCGCAGAATATCGTTCTATTTGATATAAGATATTCCTTGTCACTGGCAGGTTCTAAGGAGGGTTTTGGGCGGAGGGGGTAAAACCTCCCCTTCCAAATTAGAAGAAATCAGTCTTACTAGATCCGCTTAAAAAAATTTAGGTAAAATGACAGGCTGATTAATACAGGCGCCCGTGAATCAAATTCTTATGTCTAGGACTGCATCTAAACTGTCCGATTTCTGATATACAATGTCAGCTACTGTTTGCTGAGAGTCTATTAATGATTATAAAAAACCTCAAAGCTACAGCATTATTATATTTACAATTTTATTAAAACCCCTCCCCATTATCGACGTCAGGATCCGCTAGTGTTCCTTGTACCGGGTGTTTCAGACCACCCAGGCCACCTGATTTTTTCGTTAACGCGATATTTTACAGAAAAATATTTCAGACAAAAGTTGTAGGGCTTCAAAGAATCTATTTACTGACGCTATGAATTTGACCTTGGGATAACCTTGAAAAGTCCAGTCAAGATCAACATAAAAATCTTAAATGGATACCCCAATTTATTATTACATCATCTTTTTCTAGCAATTAATTCGGACAACTTTTGTCTGAAACATTTTTTTATTTACCTAATATTTCTTTAGATATTTAAGGAAAACTTGATAACTTTTTCAATATTTAACTCACGATATCTCGCTAACTATTTGTCAGAAAAAAAAGTGGTACTAGACTTTTTTGCTCTATTTAGTCTCAAGAATATATTGTTACAATAGCGCCTTGATTTTTGTTAATTTGATGATTTTGAAATTTTCAAAAGTCAGTAAGTTAACAAAAGTCAGGATGCTATTACAACAATATATTCTTGAGATTAAAAATAGAGTAGAAAAGTCTAGTACTATTTTTTCTTCTGACAAATAGTTAGCGAGATATCGTGAGTTAAATATTGAAAAAGTTATCAAGTTTTCCTTAAATATCTAAAAAAATATTAGGTAAATAAAAAAATGTTTCAGACAAAAGTTGTTCAAATTAATTGCTAGAAAAAAATGATGTAATAATAAATTGGGGTATCCATTTAAGAATTTTATGTTGATCTTGACTGGACTTTTCAAGGTTATCTCAAGGTTATCTCAAGGTCAAATTCATAGTGTCAGTAAATAGATATTTTGGAGCCCTACAACTTTTGTCTGAAATATTTTTCTTTAAAATGTCGCGTTAACGAAAAAATCGTGACCCGGGTGGTCGGAAACATCCGGTATATATTTAAACACACACACATACGCACACAACATACATCAAATCGATTAACTGACGCGTGTCGTTAAAATGGTAAAAGAAGAATATGGATTCACGTGTTCAACGAGCGTACATTGCCGCTATTATTTCTAGCGAAACATAAACGCGCACGGAGTTTCCGCGTACGTCACACAGCTAGTCGGCCTGATACCAAAAGGTTTTTTTTTATCTTCGATGATACACACAGCTCGAGGCGTTATCGCGTCGGTGGACTATCAGTACGGTGGATGCAAGATTTCCAACGGAAAATATATACATGAGACGCGAGGTCGCGACGCATCGCGCGCTCCAAAGCTTGAGAGCTAGAATCGTTCGCGTGGATGAGGAACTCGTCGCGTGTAAATAGGCGGCGTCCAAACACGTCAACAAGAAAGACAAAAAGAAAAAAGAAATAGACACATATGGCGGTTAGATTTCTCGATTAGCGATCAGTTGCTATTGCGATATAGCCAAGTGCCATCCGCGCAACCCGTAACCCAGTTTAGCGCTAATGGCGGGTGCGCGATGCAAAACGATCGCGATGAAAGAAGAAGGGATGACTCTGTTAACGAGGCTCTTTATTACGGCCATTGGACCGCATTGTGCATGCATATGCAGTGCATATTCGGTCATCGTGTTACAAATCATTTTACCAGAGGTTCTTTCGATTTTGAGCTTTCATTCTGAGAATGAGACGAAAAAGCATCTCTTGCTGGCTCGGGAAGCTCTTTAGCGAAAAGAGTAACATTTTATTCTTAATTTGCTCTCGTCTTATTTATTAATTAACGTTCGGCTATTTTCATGACGAGATTCTCTCGTGTTATAAAGCCGGAGTCGTTCATACAAGATATGTCAAGTGACGTGACTTAATACTATCGTATTAATTTTTGCAATCTGTACAACGAGCTTCTTCATCGAGTTTAGTTGGAAATTATCGTCAAACCGATATTCTTCTTAGACCTTTTCGCTTGAATTCTGCATTAGCCGCTTGATTTATCGGTAATGTTATTATCAGTGAACTGAACGACTCGCTTATTTTTGCGCCTTTCATTTATGTATCGACCTTGTAATCTTGGATAACGATATTTTCTGCGGTTGCGACATTCGTAACTGGCGCTGTATTATACGTGCACACGTATGTATGTACGTTCATTGCGCTTCTCTCGACTCTATTTTGCTTTTCTGCCGCGATCTTCTGACCCGATCTTCATTGCCATCGCCCCACAAACGGAAAACACCGAGATTACAAACTCCAAGTGTGACGGTATACCTCTGTATCGCGGAAAAAATCGGCTTTATATTTCTTGTTGATGGTACCACCAGCACCAGCGTACCAACGTGCGAAGTCAGCGGCATCAACGTCATGACTGTATAATTTCTGGGAACTTCTGAAGTATGTTAGAGTAAAAATTTGTCGTTTCCTCTCAACATATTGTACGATTAATCGTGACGCGCTTGGTCGTAGTCTCTATGAATATTTACTACGACGAAAACAACTCAGTTAATAGCGGTGTATAAGTGCCGTCCTGTCTTTTAATTGGCATAGTAGATATGCGTTATTAACGAGTGAAATGGACGCGTCGTTGCTCTCGTGTCGCGTCTCGTCATATCCCGGAAAGAATAAAAATCATGCGTTAATAAATTCGCACTGGCGCCGTGTTCATTCAGTTTTGGCGGTCGCGTAAACCCGACCTGATAAAACGCTCTCGTATTCTATATAAAAAACGTAATACGTGCATAAGAGAAAAACAAGACCAAGTTCGATGTTTCTGTCACGATTAGCGTGCGGTTGCGCGCACCCACGCGTTGATAAGAGATAACGGGACTAATGGAAGATATGTGGCGAATAGTCGCTCGCAAGACGTCTCATTTGAATAGAAGCGAACGAACGAACGAGAGAACAAAGCGCTATTGATAGGAAGTTTGCTTGATGCACTTTATACTTCCACTGCCACATCCTTATGAGAACGTCCTTATGAGAATTATGAAACGTATTAAGATAAGACGCTCCATCGCGCGTCGCTCCATCCGATTTATTTATAGAATCTTCTCTCTCTTTCCTTTCCCTGCCACTGAGGCCGATATCTAACCGACTGTGTCATTTTGAAAATATTTTCCGACGAAATCCATATTCATGTGTTTTCCGAGTAGACAACAAAAGCTTATTTGTTGCTCAACACACGCCACACGTGCCACACGCAGAACCGCGGCGATATGCGTGCATGTGCACATTGAGATATTCATTCACCGAGAGTAATTATCTGTTAATAATTTTCTCAAGCGCAGTGCTTCCTTTGTCGAGGAAATAGCGATGCCAATTAGCACTAGGTGATTACGGCAAATTTTGCAGCGGACGATCGTAGATTCTCTAGTTTTCTTAGTCTCGATCGCGTGTTTCAGTCGTGACTACCGTGACTGTTGCAGACAACAATATGTTAAATATCAATCGCTCGTTCCGATAATTCTCCCGTTAAAAAAGAATCGTAGTACTTCAGACACGGGTATTCTATTACCCTATGTAATTATTAGTTAGAAATTTACATTGCGTTGAAGAGCTCGACGAGCTATGCCTTATATAAGCGAAGTAAATTCAATTTATATGCTGCAAGTAGTGGAAGAAAATATGATCACCACCAGCTCGATGCAACGTGATTAAGAAGCAAAGTTATTACTCGAGTGAGTAGTTGTACGAACGTAATGTGAGTAGTATCACTTGTTGAGATTTGTGCACGATTCTTCGTATGACAAAAACATCATCTTTTAGAAGTGATTCGGAGAATCGATGCACGGAGGAGATTTCTCACGAAAGCGATGCACGAGGAATGCGCAAATCTGAATTTTTGTCATCGAAATTTATTTAGAACGAAAGAACAATAATCAAGTCACAAAGTCTCGAATGACTTTTCGCTCAAATAAACTGAATTCTTCATTTTGAATCGTCGAGTGAATGTTTTTCTAATCTAGATTGAAAGGTGAATCTCCGCGATACGTTTCGTCGCCACAAAAACAAATTCACTCTTTTCGATTGAAATATTCATTCGTACACAGGTCAAGTAAGACAATAAGGTTACCCTGAAAAGTTCTATTGTACAAAATTTAAATTAAATATTTATTTTTATGACTCTGAGAGCAACAATTTTTACTGTCACTTTGAGTGAATTTCCACGCAGTTTAAATAAGATTTCATTTTAAGATCTATATTAATAGTTGCTGCTTGAAATTTCTCCTGAGCGAGATGTTCAGATTTGAATCCAGAGTTAAGTGTAAATTACTTAGCTGTATCACGACTATAAATATGTCACATGTATTGTACGATCCAACGAAAATATTAGGATCTAACTATAATTTTAGATCTTATCTCACATGAGACAAGTTTCAAGCGAGAACTACTGGCAAGGACCTAAGTAATTTGCAGAATGTACGTGATAGTTTAAGGTATAATTAGATAGATAGATACTTATAGATGTTTAACTTAATTCAGAAACACTTTGGGTACATATACACAATAAAAATTATATATTATAAGAAATATATTTGAATTTCCACAATGATATGGATAATGCGAAAGAGAAAGCTCAAGTTTACCTCTGACGGATGATGCGCTTGACTGCCTGCCGTAACTCGCGTTTGACAACATTATCATTCTCGCTCTCGTTACCGCATCTCTTCCTTCCTGATCACTGGGGACAAATCCGCGCGCGATGAAGCAACGAAGGATGGGATTCAGGTTTTGGGATAAGGATAGGTATCGTGACACTGAGATGAGAAAAGTCTCGATTGAAAACGGCCTCGAAGAAGAGTACGCGACGCTTCGAAGAGCGCCGAAGAGCGGGGTCAACAAACTGACGACCACGATGATGATGACGACGACGAATCCACCTTGGCGTTTCGCCGCCAAGTAGTCGAGGGGGTTTTCCACGGGATACTCTGACGCACGAGTTCAATGAGATCGTCCGATCTCTGCCATTCCTTCTTTCTCTTTATCGCGGTTTTTCTTTGTCGCTTCGTCACTCTTTTCTCCGTTTCCGTTTTTTCTTCTCTCAAGCACTAGGACAAGCAGATGCAACAATGCTCGCGCCGCGATCGACAATCACGAAACAGATAGGTGAGGAGGACTCTCTCGGGAGGACCCGATCGATCGACTCTCGTGTGGTGACCTTCACTCGAAAATTCCGGAAACCGATACGAAATATCACCGATCAATCGGTGGAAGAACTCGTGGTTGTTTGTTTAGAATGTTCTCCACACTCGTACGTTCTGTTATCACAAAATCGCGAGAAAAGTTGTGTGTCCGTCCGCGATTGCCCTGCAAGTTCCACGATAAAACCAGGTATTGCTGTTGACGATAATATAATCGAACCTCTCTGTCGATGATAAGCGTGACCGGAGCGTGGTGCAGTACCCGCAGTTAACGCGTCACACACTTGCACGCCGTGAGCGAAACTGACGCTCAACGGATCTCTGGAGTTCGCTGATGTCCGCGCTCGCTCGTCGGGGGAGATAGCGCGATCTCCCCCCTCTTTTTTTATATTTCGTGGGCTCGTCTTGGCATACGCATGTGTGTGCGTATGCACGAAATTGAGCCGTGTATATTTTTCGTATTTTTTTCCACCCTGTCGCTCGTGAGTGACGGCATGTCATGATTCGCGCGCAGGAGAAACAAAACAGCCGGAGGAAGACCGGCCTAGGTCGAAATTTCGCGACAATCACGTTGTCCCTTATTGATTCACCAATAAATGGACAAAGATTGAGAAAGTTATCGAGATAAAGGGCTTGTACGATGGAGATGCATGTAAAAATGAATGGCAGAATTGCTTGATATGTGACGAAAACAATAAACAATTTTTGCACATATTTTCTGCAAAAGCATTTGTAATTCTTTGCCAATAAGACATAAACTTTGCAGAAAAGAGTTGATGTTTCATCGGTAAAACCTCCAAGTACGGTATCTCCTTAAACCCCGTATTATCTGATTCGACTCTCCAATTCTACTCTCTGATCTTTATGATCTTCATCTTCTTAGTGCTTGGTCTCTTCTAATATAGCAGGCTTTTGAGTCATTATACTGTGTGAATGAAAAAACGGATAACGAGCTCGCGAATTGGATTATCGTCATGCATTTTTTTCCGAGCGCAAAAAATGGAATACTGACTTTACACACGTACAACTGCGAGATACATGAGCACGGTTGAAAAGTTTCCTTAATATCCGCGGCACACACGTACGAAGGTCGAACGTGGTAACGATAGGAAGTTCCGCTAATTATTGCGAAACACTACAGCATTCGATATTTCTTCAAACGCAGTCAGTTAAGCGCGTTTGATTAATAACTCGATATGTAAAATGCACAATCATGTACGTTGATTAGTATGCTGTTGCATCGATAATATGTCAGTTCACATCGAAAGTTCGAGCAAGACATTGTCATAGTGGATTTTCAAAGCGAATAAAATCGTCCAAACATTTTCGCAAGCGAATGAACGTGCGCGTACAAAATCGCTGAATACTCATCGAATACACACGGCTTCTGCACGCGAATTAATGAAAATAAAGTTAATTACAAGGAAACGAGGGGTGATTATATGTATATTTGGCACCGCTCAGCAAATGGGTTCGTGTGTCAGCAGTCTGAAGAAGAAGAAGAAGAAGAAAAAGAAGCAGTCAATAAAGTAGAGGGAGAAAAAGTAAAAGAGGTCTCCCAAAGAGGTTTGCCAAAAAAAAGAAAAAAACGATTAATGTAGCCATAGCCGGTCCTTCCCGGCTGTGACGTCGACTGCTTAATTATAAATGCAACGATTCCGTCGATTCTGGTTTTATCGATGTACGTGTGGCGCGAGTCGGGGTCCTCCGTACGATAAAATTAAAAGAATTATACGCAGCTTCCAAGCTGGAAATTCTCTGACAGATTGATAAATCTGTCGCGTTAGCTTTTAGTTAGCTCTAATCCACGATAACGCAAATGAAATCATCGGAATTCGTGCCGTTTGTTTACAGCTCCTGGAGATGCTGAAATTCTACGCCCGATTCGAGATAAGCGAGGAAACTGGTAACCCTTTGACTGATCACGATATGACGCAGTTGCACTACGCTAAAATTACGTCTCTTCAGGTACGCAGAATTCCATCCCGCTTTTCCTACATTATAGATATTATTGCAATTAGCTTTTAAATACATAAAAAATTTATATAAAAAGAGGATATGCTGATTGAACGATCGAGAGAATTATTTTACTGTTTTTATGGCCATCCCACGAGATCAATTATTACACTGTGACGATGATCCGCGAATTTTTCCCGCCGATTTTGCGTCGTGAGCTTTTCACAAAGGTGCTCGACGACGATCGATAAAAAAAGGAATATTACGTTACAAAAGTATATGAATTTTCAACAGGAGGTATGATTAATACCACTTAGTCATGCCATTGATGTCGATTTACGCACGGTATTTCTCAGGCGCGTTAATATTAAAATCATCAAACTAACCGTTGTCATTAAAATTCTGCCTAGAATGCAGTCTTCGCGAAATTCCCGGATCTGCGGAGCTTTGCGTTGGCTAACGTAGCTAGCGTCGACGTCAGAGACGCTCTTTACAAGCACTTTGGTACGCTCAGGTAAGTCCCCTTTTTCATGTGAATAATTGCTCTTGATAATGAATATAATTGTGCACTCTGGAAAAAAAAGAAACATCTCCTGTGATTACTGTTAGGAATGATATGGAAACTGTGAAATGTAATGTAATAATAATGTTATACAGGGTGTCTCAAAAGTAACGGACTACCCTAATAACTCTTCAGTATTTAAGTTTCAAGGAAAATGATTCGAATAAAAGTTGTAGGGATTTAAATGAGCTACCTTATGATGACCTTGACTTTGACCTTGATCTCTATTTTCAAGGTCATTTGAAGGTCAACTTGCGTTTTTTAAATGGGAACCCTTATTTTTTATTACACTGTTTTTTTCTACTAGTTAATTTGGAGAACTTTTGTCTAAAACATTTTTTTATTTGTTTAATATTTTTTGAGATATTTGAGGAAAACCTGATAACTTTTTCAATATTTAACTTACGATATCTCGCTAACTATTTATCGGAAGAAAAAGTGCTACTAGACTTTCTTGCTTTATTTAGTCTCAAGAATATATTGTTACAATAGCGCCTTGCCTTTTGTTAACTTACTGATTTTTGGAAATTTCGAAATCAAATTAACAAAAATCAGGGCGCTATTGTAACAATATATTCTTGAGATTAAATAAAGCAAGAAAGTCTTGTACCACTTTTTTTTCCAACAAATATTTAGCGAGATATCATAAGTTAAATATTGAAAAAGTTATCAAGTTTTCCTCAAATATCTCAAAAAATATTAGACAAATAAAAAAATGTTTTAGACAAAAATCGTTCAAATTAACTAGTAGAAAAAAACAGTGTAATAAAAAATAAGGATTCCCATTTAAGAAACGCAAGTTGATCTTTAAATGACCTTGAAAATATAGGTCATAGTCATTATAAGGTAATTCACTTAAATCCCTACAACTTTTATTTAGATTATTTTCTTTGAAACTTCAATACTGAAGAGTTATTAGGGTGGTCCGTTACTTTTGGGACATCCTGTATAGTGGTTATAATATGTAAAGTAAAAAAAAAGAGGAATATATAAATGTTAAATATTGGATACGCGCAATATTTCCACATACATATTTATAAGCATAACGTTAATAAAACGCTGAATGAATAACGTTATTTTTTTTCCTTGCAGTCAAGAGAAACTGAGAGCCATCGCGAGTTACTTAAATTTAGTGCCGCCCGAGGAGCGTGAGAAAGATGAGAACTGGTATCGCTTGGACATAGACTTTCTGCGTGAACTATTGGTAAGAGCTGACCGCAAAGAAAAAGGAAAAAAAGAAAGAATGAAAGATGATCGCGAGGTTTGCTTGATCGAGGTCACGTCGAATTCTGAGTTGGGTTTTTTTTTGTTTCATCTTTAGATATCGCGACACGAGCGTAGACCATCGCAGCTGGAGGAGCTGAATGAGATGCCGCTCTATCCGACCGAGGATATCATCTGGAACGAGAGTGTCGTCCCGACCGAGTACTTCTCTGGCGAGGACTGCCTGGCCCTGCCGAAATTGAACCTTCAGTTTCTCACGTTGCACGATTACTTACTACGGAATTTCAATTTATTTCGCCTGGAGTCTACGTGTAAGTAGAAGATGGTAAAAAGTCATAGGGATCACGAATCATTGAATTGCGATTAAATAACATGTATGTTAATTACGTTATATATACATATCGTCGCTGTTTTCACAGACGAGATACGACAGGATATCGAGGATGCCGTAAGCAGATTGAGTCCTTGGTAAGTTATTCGTCGCAATGTCATATTTAGCCGGTTCTTTTCATTTTTTCCTTCCTCCTCTGGAGCGCGAGAGTGATCAGGATCAGTGATCTTTTCCTTGTACAGGCGGGCCGAGGACGGTGGCGTCTATTTCGGCGGATGGGCCAGGATGGCTCAACCGATTACACAATTCGCGGTGGTCGAAGTGGCTAAACCTAACGTGGGCGAAAACAAACCATCCAGAGTACGTGCTGACATCACGATCAATCTCAGCGTTCGTAAAGAGATTAAAACCGAGTGGGAAAATCTTCGTAAGCACGATGTGTGCTTTCTCATCACGGTCAAGCCGCCCAATCCTATCGGTAATGCAGATGCAAACCGTTTTTTACATAAATGCTGACTTAACTGCAATAACAGTAATAATAACAAGAATAATAATCATAACGATAACAATAACAACAACAATAACAATATTTGCGTGACAAACTTTACTTGTGGAAATATATTCTTTGGAGAATATATCAGTAAATAAGGAATAATTTAGACATTTTTTATATTAGTTATACGTGGCCTAAAAAATTTCGACTGTCTAGTCGAGAATGTCTGGCAACTCGCGATTGTCTAGACATATAACATCAGTACATACGCGAATTCTTGATTAATCGTATTGTTACAGGCACCAAATACAGCCACAAGCTTCCTTTCGTGTCCCAAGTAGGACTGACCACGGTGCGTGGCTGTGAAGTTGAGGGTATGCTCGATTCGAATGGCAGAGTGATAGAGGACGGCCCGGAACCGAGGCCAATTTTACCTGGTGATTCTCGTACCTACAGAGTGTGGTTAGACTGTAATCAGTACCGGATAGACATGGACAACGCCAGTCATGGCGGCGAGGACGTATACGAAGGATTTAATATTATAATGAGACGTAAACCCAAGGAGAATAATTTCAAGGCGGTTTTAGAAACGATTAGGGAGCTCATGAATACCGAATGTGTTGTTCCGGATTGGCTGCATGATATAATCCTCGGATATGGCGACCCCGGTGCGGCCTGCTATTCGAGGTAATTAAATCGATATTTTATTAAATATATTCTTCTTCTGCAGTGTTTCCGCGATAATTCGATGTCTTAGTGGCCAACTAAGCGAATCAATTGTTTGCTAAATCAGATTAAATATTCAGTTTTATTTGCTTACTTATATGCAAATGAGTAACTCTTTGGATAATATAAAAATAGAAGAAAATATTGATTTCACGCGACAGAATGCCGGATGAGATCGCGACGATGGATTTCAACGATACGTTTCTCGACATAGACCATCTACGAGCAAGTTTCCCTTTATACGAGATCAGTATAAACCCCGAGGATGAGAAAGATCTCGTGCGGCCGTTCCAGCTGACTTTCGAGGATGTTCTAGCAAAGCGCAATAATGAATCCGTGAAGAAAATTATCAGGGTAAAACCACATGTACCACCCAGCCGAGGTCCATACAGAGCAAATGAACCGAAGAAGTGAGCATTCGCTTTCTTGTTTAATCATAGATTTAGTAACATGTTTAAGGCATGTTGCTTTTTCTTACTCGCAGAACGAATAACTTGTACTTTATCATATTGCAGGAATCAGATCCCTTTCACGCCGACGCAGGTTGAAGCTATTCGAGCTGGAATGCAACCGGGTCTGACGTTAGTAGTGGGTCCACCCGGTACCGGCAAAACGGATGTCGCCGTACAGATCATCTCAAATTTGTATCATAACTTCCCGAATCAGAGAACACTCATCGTCACACATTCCAATCAAGCGCTCAATCAGCTGTTTGAGAAAATCATGGCGCTCGACATCGACGAGAGGCATCTTCTGCGTCTCGGTCACGGTGAGGAAGCTCTGGAAACCGAGAAGGATTTCAGTCGTTATGGCAGAGTCAACTATGTCCTTGCTAAGCGCTTGGATCTACTTCTAGAAGTTCAGCGGTTACAGGTATGTAGTTCCTTTTGAGCGGTTATATTTAAACGAGATTGCGTTTTATATTTGTTTTAATTATCTGTTTCTTTTTTTTAAATCTAAATTATAGGGTTTTTACCTTTAGACACATAATTTAATGTTGAGGAGAAAAGAAATGAAATTGTTTGTAAGAGAATGATTATTTTATAAAAGTTAAATTTTCTTTTTAAATTTGCAAGAAGATTAAAACACACTAATTGAGCTAAAAAGAATTATTAACCCTGATAATATGGAAAAATGCTAAGTGTCTCATATTATTTACTGATCTAATTTTGATACAAAAAACCGATTCTGAGTATAAAGAATGTAGAAGTCGACCGTAAGTTGTTAATAAATGCTTTATCTATTCGTTCATTTGCTTCTATAGGAATCGTTGAATGTGAAGGGTGATGTCGCGTATACCTGCGAAACGGCAGGATACTTCTTTATGTATCAAATATTCACGAGGTGGGATCGCTTCGAAGCCAGGATCAAACAGCGGCAGAGTACGAGCGAAAAATCCGACTTGGCCTCCATAGTCGACGAGGAATTTCCATTTCACAAATTTTTCGACAACGCACCTCAGCCGCTCTTCAAGCGGAATACGTACGAGGAAGATCTCAAGATCGCCTGCAGCTGTTATCGGTGAGAGTGTGTTCAATAACGAACTATCGCGAGATAAAGGATCGCAAACAGAGATTTGTTTTCCGTTATTGTTTTAAGTTATTTTATTTTTAAAGTTGAGGAATTGCATGTTCTCAATGTTGAGTTGATTCTGTAATTTTGGATTGTCCAAGAATATGAAAATTTTAGTGAAATAAATAAACATTTTTCGAATAGTTTGCAGTAAGCTCTCAAATTAAGATATTAATGATGTGATAATCATATGGGTAGGTACATCGAAAGGATATTCGCCCAGCTGGAAGAATTTCGCGCATTCGAATTACTGAGATCCGGCCTCGACAGATCGAAGTACTTGCTCGTAAAGGAGGCCAAGGTGATCGCCATGACGTGTACACATGCAGCGCTCAAGAGACGCGAACTTGTTGACATGGGCTTCAAGTATGATAACATCCTCATGGAGGAATCCGCGCAGATTTTAGAGATCGAGACATTCATACCGTTGCTGTTGCAAAATCCCCAAGATGGCTACAATCGCCTGAAGCGATGGATAATGATAGGTGATCACCATCAGTTGCCGCCTGTCATCAAGAACATGGCGTTTCAAAAATACTCGAACATGGAGCAATCGTTATTCGCGCGCTTTGTGCGTCTCGGTGTGCCCACGGTTGACTTGGATGGTCAAGGTCGTGCCAGACCCAGCATTTGCAATCTTTATAATTGGCGTTACAAGAAATTGGGCAATCTGGCGCATGTGGAGCACAGCCCCGAATACCTGGTGGCAAATGCTGGCTTTCTGTACGACTTTCAATTGGTCAATGTCGAAGACTTCAATGGCGTCGGTGAGAGCGAACCAAGCGCCTACTTCTATCAGAATCTCGCCGAGGCTGAGTATTGCGTTGCTGTGTTCATGTACATGCGTCTGCTGGGTTATCCGGCCGACAAGATCAGCATATTAACTACCTACAATGGCCAAAAGCATCTCATAAGAGACGTAATCAACATCCGATGTGCGAACAATCCGCTGATAGGTCGGCCCAACAAGGTGACCACCGTTGACAAGTATCAGGGTCAGCAAAACGATTACATTCTATTGTCTTTGGTGAAGACACGCGCAGTCGGCCATTTGAGGGACGCAAGGCGTTTAGTAGTCGCGATGTCGCGTGCCCGTCTCGGCCTCTATGTCTTTGCCCGCGTGTCCCTCTTCAAGAACTGTTTCGAGCTGACGCCGGCATTCGATCAGCTGATGCAGAGACCATTAAAGCTACAGCTCTTACCGCAGGAGGTCTATCCTACTGAGCGACTGTATGATGCTGTGCCCCCGACTGTCCCGATGGAAATCGAGGATATGCCGCATATGGCTAAGTTCGTCTACGATTATTACATGGAGAAAGTCAGCGGTATGAAGGTAAATCTCCAAATAATGTTATTGTGTAACTTGTTTCTCACACATCATTTTCTCGATGCTAACGAAGACTGGTGGGTTTATTTCCTTGTTTTTCTCAGGAATCGCAGAAGATGTGGCAGAAACCAGGAACCATGCAAACCACGAGTAACCGAGTGCACAAGATACCTGCTCACCCTGGTGCCGACGACGATACCGACGACGATGACGATGACGACAAGGATAACAACAACGAGGAAGCAGAGCAAAGCAAAGCGGAAACGAAAGAGACCACGGAAGAGACGGCAGAGACCAAGTATGAACCAATCAAGAATTTAGTCGAAGATCCTCCGAGCGAGGCTGAAGATGACAGTTGAACGAGCCACGTCACTTACCTATGCGCGCATGCAAAGATTGACACTACACTGGGCAACGTGTCGACACATTGTAGAGGTTGGATAACCTCGAATTATACAATTCCAAGGCAGGAAGAATAGGGCTGCCACACATACACACAAGTTCCAACTTCGACATGTTGATCTCGGAAAATATTTCCGTCAGCATTTGATCGATTTCGCGATTAATTAAGAATATGCGCTTTATTATATATATATTGCAGATAATTTTACTGTACAATAACAGACTCTCCATATACGTAACGTATTAAAATAAATTATAGTTTTTGTAAATGGTACGGAGTATACGAAACTTGATTCTCTCCGTACGCACTTGAGTTGAGTCTCGATACTCAGAGTCTTGTATCAACATCGTGGCTGCTGTTTACGTGAAAATTCTTACGTGCTTCCCACGCATGTGTTTCCTCTTCATGAGAACAGTTCGTCTATCTTCTTCTTAGTTGGCGTTCCTTTTCGACGCACCTCCAGCCTCTGCATCTTTAACCTCTCGGACTCGTCCGGAGTTTTTTTAGTGTCGTTTGGGCTCTGTCGCACGCTCGACGGCACGTAACTGTCGTCGAATTTCATCAACTTACTCGGTGATTTGAAATCAGGCTCGTACTCCTCTATGGAGGGCTTGATCCCCTTTGAATTAGGCACGTATTCCTCGAGGACGGCCTCGGGGATTGTCGTACTGGCGTACGGCTCGTACGTCTCGTACGTCGTCCCCAGCTTCTCGATGGGATTTGGTACGTAGCTCGCTGCGTCATCCACGACGCCTTTGCTGTCGGCGCACAAGGTTGGCGTATACTCGTTTGACGTCAGTCGCATACTCTCCAGCGCACTTTTTCGACTAGGTACGTACTTGAAGTCCGGACACAGTCCTGTCGTGTTCGGCGCGTCCGGAATGTATTCCTCTAACTCTTCTGGCGCGTTCACCGAAACATTTGAGAGTGTGTATTTGCGATACTTCTTCCTCTTGATATCTTCATGCTCCACCGTCGCGGTCGTGCGTAAAATGTCTGTTTTCCTCGAAGGGGAGAGCGGTTTCTCGGGAGTTTTTTTGAATCGCTCACCCATAGCGTCGCTCGTTCGATGGGGAGATCTCTCCTCTTTCGTTCGTTTTGTCATGTCCTTATCACCACTATCCAACTCCGCTTTGCTCCTTTTCGACGTTCTCTCCACGCTCGTTTCTCGCTTCACCGCTTTCTTCCTAGCCGGCGATACGTGCACTTTGATAGTGGGCAACGACGTCGCATCGCTCTCGCATTCCGGAGGGTCGAAAGTGTACCTATCGTCGGTCGTTGTCGAGTTAATTAAAAATTACCTCATTCGAGTGATATATATTAATATGTTAACCGTCACGGTAGTCATGCATCAATGATCGGCACTACAATATTGCCGCGTCTCACTAATTTATGTATAAAACGTACATATGTGTGTGTATATACATATATATTATATGTAAAATGTATCATTTCTATTTCCACAAGAGCAAATAATACCTTGGTTGATATCAATTTTTAATTGTCCACTAATCAGGGTTTAACGAGCCAGGAGGCTTCGTTGCGGCGGTTTTTGAGTTTTGCTCGAGGCAGAGTCAATTAATCGTACAATAGATCATTGATATTAAGCACCGACGACATAACTAACACGATCCTTACGTGACTTCTAACTGCCGAGTAGACTTTTTCCATTCGCATCCACGACCCTTGCGGTGCGATCCGTCACCACCGCGGCTGTTTCGCAGCACCGCGCGTTCCAATATCTTGTACAATGCCGCCCAGTCCTCGACTTGCAGCCACTTGTTGGTGATGACTTTCCGCTTCTTGATCTCCACTGTTTTCTCCTGCACGGTCACCACGGCAGTCGCCAAGCAGTCGTCCGAGGCCTGCGGACGTGCACACGTATGCGATTGTGTATAATAGCGTTCAAGGAGACCACCACAACCTACATCAATCGCATCATTCCACGGAATCGATTAGGCCGTTAAGCCGGAAGATATTTTTTCGGTGTATTTTAATCATAATCAAAGTAGGACACACGAGTATAACGTGGAGACAGAACTAGGACTAGGACTAGACAGAACAAAAAATCATGATGACATCAAAATGACGTCAAAATGATGAAGAAAATTCATTTTTTCATCATGATTCGGTCATTTTTTCGTCATTTTGATGTCATGATTTTCTGTTCTTCCTGGAAGTGAATAAGCGATATAAAAGGTAAATTAAACAATGAGACATAAGTAAATTAGCGAATCGTACATTCGAGAATTCTCAAGAATGCGAGACTGTCATATAAAAATTTACTTGTGATTTTCATTGTGACAGACCGATTCGCGCTCGCTGAGATTTTAATTCCGCATGCATAACGAACGTTAATTTGCTCTGTGCATTGAACTTTTCGTTCAGCCATTTGGTTTTTTTGCTTGAAAACAAAACGTAATCATGAAAGATTTTCATAAACGCGTATTATTTGGCAAATCAAATTTATAATACAACGTGGATCACCGGAGCTCCATCTCAAATAGAACAGGCAATCACGATGATATCAAAATGACGAGAAAATGATCGAATGATGATGAGAAAATGAATTCCTTATTATTTTGACGTCATCATGATTTTCCGTTTTGTCTGCGACGTGACGTCGCACGACTAAGTCAAGACACAAAATCAGCTCGATACGAAACATGTCAAATGTGCCTTTTTCGTTCCAATTCCGTTCTCTTGCATGATCGTTGCATGTAACATTTAACCTGTTCTTTTTCCAAGAGTTGGTATATACTTCTGGAGTTTAGAAAGAAACAGATATACAGTTGAGATTTGGCGAGAGAAAGGGGAAGGGGGAACTAGTGCAAAGTAGTGTAGGGAGTGCAGCGAAGAACAGACTAGTTTTTCCAGCATGAGAAAGACATATTTAGCGTACTCGATACACGTCAGGAACAAGGCTGCCCTGCTTGCATTTCTCTGCATGCTGCGACCTTGTTAACAAGGTCGCGCGATTCCACGTGTGATACGTCCTTCATCTCCGATTTCATCCTCGAGCTTCATATTTAAGCTACTTGTAATCCCTATTTGTAATCGCGCCCTTGTCGCATCAGTGCGTAATTGCGCTGCACGATACGTTCATCTGCTGCGAGATACAGAGATGACTACCGTGTTCGTACGCTACACAAAACAACGCTATGGATAGTCCTAACGTTTGACTCGGCACGCTAAGTGGCCTGCCTGCGTATGCGCGCGCCTGGCACCAGCTGTTGACAGCTGTTGCATGGTACCTTGATCACTTCTAAATATTGGCCGTCCCGAAACATGTTCTCGCGCTCGTTGAGCACACTGACGGTGTAGTCGGCGGCGGCGATGACGGCAGCGGTAACGGCGATGCGAAAGACCGTGCGAAGACGACGCGTTGCGTCGCGTCGCCTCCTCACTCTTTTGCTGATCTCGTCCTGACACCTCGTGTTGTCTCGCTGGACCGTCGACACAACGTCGAAGAAGCGTGGCTGACGTCGCACGCGCGTCGCGAGTCGCGACTCCGTTCCTCTCGGCGCACGCTCCCCCTCGGTGCGCTCAAAGCCGCGCGAATGAAATAGCAGATATGAATTCTCGTCGTTCGTCTTGCTCGCGACTTTTTTCTTTTTTCGCATGACCGCCAACGAGTCGACCGTCTGGTTGCATATGAAACTCGCTTTTCGTCTCGCAGTAACCGGGACGGTTCTCGCTGTGATTCCCAGATAAGCAACGCCGAGAAGCGTATCAAATATCGAATGCGAATGCAAGAAGGTGAATTGTGTCTAGTGTTCTTCATTCGCAAATGGCGGTATTATATAATAAATATACGTGTCGTATATAGGTCTGTTTTTATCGTTGCTGAACTAGTATACACTCAGGAAACATAAAAAGAAATATATAAAGATATACATCTAGAAGTTAGTGAAAGGGAGAAGAGAAGAAAATAAGTGCAAGTTAGTGTAGCCAGTATTCAGCAATAAGAAAACAAATCTTATGTGTGTGTGGTATATGATGCGAAGGAGCGGAGTTTTTCGAACAAGATTCGACTTAACGTTCGGCCTGTGCGTCAAGTTGGATCTTCTTTGACGAGATCTTGCACGTTCAGAGACGATTCATCAGCTGATTGTCGACTCGTGAGCGAATTTCATCTAACCCAAGTAGAACACAAAATCATGATGACATCAAAATGACAAGAAAATGACCGAATCATGATGAGAAAAAGAGTTTTCCTCATCATTTTGACGTCATTTTGATGTCACCATGATTTTCTGTTCTACCTGGGAAGTGAGGAACGTAAGTCGAGAGGATTTAAAGGATTGACAGGCGAAGGATCTATTTGTGGATGTTTTTGGAAACATCCACAAATCATATGCGAATCGTGAAATTTCGACGTTTTCTATTAAAATCAACTTTTTCTATTATTTCCTTTTCATTTCAAGTTTATCACGATTTCGAGCAACACAAGTTGTAATCCAGCAGAACAGAAAATCACGATGACATCAAAATGACATCACAATAATGAGAAAATGACCAAATCATGATGAAACAATGTTTTCCTCATCATTTTGACGTCATTTTGATGTCGTCATAATTTTCTATTCTGCCTGGGAAGCATCATTGTACTTTCATTATGTGTTTATCTCATCAAAATCTTGTATGTGTAATTGTGTATCGGTGCGACATTCCACAAATGATTACGTAATCGTCACACTGGTCATTCCTTCTTTCAATTCCGAGATTCTTCAATTCTTTAATTCCAATTCTTTTAATTCACTTGCTTTTTCGATTAAACTATATATATATATATAGTGCAAAATTGAAATTATCTTTTCTTTTCAATGCTATATGTCTCTATGTCTACTATAATTTGCAATTTTTTGTTTTTTTATAGTGAAACAAGTATGCGACACAGCGTTGAAAAGAAAAGGTAATTTCAACTTTACATTAGTTTAATCGAAAAAACAACATATGTGTATATATATATACGTGATGTTATATATATATATATAACATCGCATCAATTGACCGGGAAATTCGACTGGCCGTACGATCAATAATTAATTAAATTATGCGATGTGGTGTTACGTGATTGTTCGAAGCAATGATATTAAAGACGATAATGTTAGAATTTACAAGGTAAGCGGAAAAAGGAATGCCGTGTTATATTTCGCACATTTCTTGCGCAAAGCATTTTGCTATAATAAGCGTTGACGACAGGATGCGACAGTAAACGGCCGAATGATCGTGATTGGTGTGCGTACATGTACAACAAATATTGGAGAGTGATGACCGCTAGAAAAGACATTTGTTCCAAATAATAACGTTCGAGGAGATCGGAACAAAGAACGAGTCGACGCACGATGGCACGTGAGAAAGCAACTACGATTTTCGGACGTTTTCAAATCTTCATGGAAGACGAAATAGGAACGGGCAAAGTACGGTAACTTCCTAACCTTGATATATGATCCATACATATGATCTATATATGGTTTATATGATCGGCGATATATTTAAAAGTTATTCACTTCTACGATTTTTGCTCTTTCTAGCTCGTTACCTATGGGATCGCCAGCACTGCTTTATTTCTTGCGCTACACAGAATTAGACCGGTATGTGATCACAAGTTTATGTCGATCTGCCACTGCTCACGATAATCATCCATGGATGACATTCACGTTTTCTCTCATTCTGTAGTTTGCGAAATTCAAGAAACCGTCCGACGTTCCATTTCATTTTTTGCAATCACATGTGCCATTACAAGGCACCGTTATGCGCGTGGAGCCGAGCGATGGTGCCCTACTAATGGTCGATCATCAACCTTTACTGCCTTTTCCCCGATTTAGCCAAACGAGTTACTTACCTGTCAAGATTGGTGATGTTAATGTTACGGGTAACGGTAAGTACCTAACTGGTTACAACTCATAACCATTGTCGAACTATATATTGATCTTTCAGGTATAAGTTGGTTGCAATTTGTAGTCAGTGGAAAACTTATAACATTTGTACCTATAATCAAGGAAAAAGATTACTTAAAATGTACAGTTACGATACCACAAAAAGATCAGGTGAGCAACTACTATTTCCTATATGAAATGATATATCTCGTGTATTTATTGTGTTTTTTCTATGTGAACAGGATTCATTAAAAATTGGTGAAGAGTTAGTGAAATTGGGCCTAGGTACAGTACATGAATCTGGCATAAGGCTGAAAGACAAAAATGCTTTAGCATATACAAAATCTCTAATAAATGCTCAAAAGTGGGCAATACGCAGGAGAAATGGGCACTGGCATTTCGTTAGACAGCCAACAGTACTCTGGAAAACTCAAATGTTTATAATAAATAAAATGAAGTCATTATTGCCTGCTTACATAGTGAGACAGCTTGATATTTAAAAGTATTTGCTTTACTAATAAATTTATAGATATATCTTTTCTTAATTATGGAATATATTTTTTGTTAGTTTGCATTCTACAAGAATGTATTAAAAATTTTTTAATAAAAGTTATTTTAGTAAAACTTTCTTATATATGTTACTTGTAATATTTCTTACTGATTGAATAGCAAAAAGCCTAATATATGTCCATTTCCTATGTGTATACTTTAGATCATTTTTTTTATTTCTAAACACTTCAGTTAAAGCTTAAATCACATAAATTATATATAGACATATATAAAAAAAATTTAAATATTTTGACTAGAAAAAATACTTTTGATACTTCAATTTATTCAATTATTGATGAATGACTTATTGTAGATTTGTTTAGGTATATAATGCATATAGTAAACTAGAATATTTAAAAGCAGTTTTATTTTTATATTTGTTAAACTGTACAACTTCTCTTATAAGTTACTTTACACCAGATTTCAAGATAACAAAGCTATTACAAGTCATACTTTTGTCACGTATCACACTCAGTTTTAACAGAAACATTTTTGTGTATCAAGTTCTCTAATTTACTTACATTGTATATGAACCTGTTTACAGATTTTTCTCTCTTTCTCTCATTCTCTTCATATACATTCGCACACACATACTTAGATACAACTTATTCGATAGATAATACCCATACCCTAATAAAATAAAAACGTAATTATAAAATAGAAATAAACTTAATGAAAGATTGCTTATGTTGCACTAAATTAGAATACAAAAACAATCTCTGGTCGTAACATAATTAGATAATTACAATGGATCACTTATTCTCATTTAACATTTGCTATTAGTTAATTATTATAAGATTTAGTATAATCATCCTATATATTAATATTCCAAATTGATATAGAATATAAAAGTAAAGCGTTAACGACCATAATAATAGAACAAAAAAAATGTTGAAAATAAAATTATTCGTTAGTCTAATTAGTCTAACGAGCTTTTTAATCTTGTAAATATGTAAAAGTAGAATATATTATACGAATATAAAAATTATATATAGTGTCTATTAAAATAATGAGATAGTATGTGTGTGTATGTGTATACGTGTTACATAGATTGTAAAATTTACAAAAACAACAGAATTTTCAACCTTATATATACATATAGAGTGTCCCATTTTAATGTCCCACCCCAAATAACTTCATCAGTATTGAAGTTTCAAGGAAAATGTTCTGAATAAAAGTTGTAGGGATTCAAATGAGCTACCTTATGATGACCTTGACTTCTATTTTCAAGGTCATTTGAACCTTACCTTTTGTTAACTTACTGATTTTTGAAAATTTCAAAATCAAATTAAAAATCAGGGCACTATTGTAACAATATATTCTTGAGATTAAATAAAGCAAGAAAGTCTAGTACCACTTTTTCTTCCAACAAATAATTAGCGAGATATCGTAAGTTAAATATTGAAAAAGTTATCAAGTTTTCCTCAAATATCTAAAAAAATATTAGACAAAAAAATGTTTTAGACAAAAGTTGTTCAAATTAACTAGTAGAAAAAAATAGTGTAATAAAAAATAAGGGTTCCCATTTAAAAAATGCAAGTTGACCTTCAAATGACCTTGAAAATAGAGGTCAAGGTCAAAGTCAAGGTCATTATAAGGTAGCTCACTTAAATCCCTACAACTTTTATTTAAATCATTTTCCTCGAAACTTCAATACTGAAGAGTTATTTGAGGTGGGACATTAAAATGGGACACCCTGTATATATACATATATATATATATATATATATATATATATATATATATATATATACATATATATATATATATATATATATATATATATATATATACACACACACACACACACACACACACACAGTCATCAACATTTCTTTTTAACTTTCTATTATTAATAATTCAGGATAATGGAGCGAACAAACTTCTTCTAGTATATTGGCGTACATTTAGCACGACAGTTATTCGTCAAACAGTTAGTGAGCTCTCGAATTTAGTTGGCGCACACTTTCAGATTTGATCAAGACTAAAAGTACGAATTAATAAAACTCGAAAGTCGTTAAGCGCTTATAGTGAGTAGTGTTAATATTAAATATATTTCTATTGTTGCGTTGTCTTGTTTCCTCTTTGGAATGTATGTACATAGTTGTTTGTGCATATAATTCAATTGTCAAGCAAATGTACACAAAACAAATCCATTTGCTGCAAGAAATTGACAATTTTCTGATCAATTTTTCGTGGAAATGAAATGTTTCCGAGGTACTAGTAGAGTATCACTTAGTAAATATTAATATTACACTGCGTATATATATATATATATATATATGTGTGTGTGTGTGTGTGTGTGTGTGTGTGTAGCACTATTTACTTCTCATTAGAATATTTCGTTTCTTATTGCGGAATGCTCTCTTTTTTCGTTTGTCGTTAGAATCTTTTGGACAGTTTTATTTCTCTTTCGACCTCACTTTCTTGGATTGACTTTCTGTGTTTTAGCTGAAGCATCTGGTTCTATTTTCAAATTCTTTTCAGACTTTGTATTAGTTTTCGCGGTATTCTCTCGTGTCTTGTCGTTCGTCTCAGGCTTGACATTTGGTGAATGTAACTTTGTATCAGTTTTTGCATTATTCTTGATTTCAGCATTCGCAGATTTTGAAACTTGAGGTTTATTTTCCTGTGATTTAACATTGCCGCTTGTTGCAGGTTTTTCAGCTTTAGAAGCCGTTTTCGGTGCAATAGTCGGTTTGGATGTCGTAGGGGCAGCGGTTGATATAGGTGTTGTGGGAGTAGGGGTGACTGGAGCAGTGGATGGCTTGTGGGTTGCCTGTGTGGCAACCTTCTTCGATGTTGCTTTCGATTCGATCGGTTTCGCTGTTGCTGCAGAACCTGTATCCCGTTTTACTCTTTCCGTATTGGCGTTTGAAGCAACAGCTTTCGGAAGTTGCTTCTCACTTTGGACGCGGGAAGATACTTTTCCACCGTCAACTGCGAGATCGGGAAATGCTTGCTTCAGTGGGATTCTCAGGACATGATTGTTCCATGGACTGCCAAGCCATAAGTAGTTGTTGTGTATATAAGCCGAACTGATACCATTAACTATGTCTGTTTCGTCTGAGGAAAGGACTTCTAAGATATTACCAGATGAATCTAGTCTAATTATCATAGACTTCTTCATGCTGTCTATAACCATCTCTGTAATCATAGGGAACGATCCGATCCAATGCATGATCTTTTCCACATTGGTATTAGGATAGTAATGATATATCAGCTCAAATGGCATTTCTATTAAGAAAAGCAAACGCGATAACATCTTTCTAATTAACGGATGTGGTATGAGACTGTGCAACAATATAGGATGCTCAGGGCTAGAACTAATGATGGTTGTGATAAGGAAACCACCGTGACCGTCGCTATGAATGTTATCTGGCAAACCTGGTAAACCTTCCACAAAGATTTCAAACTGTCCAGATTTTGGCCCTTTTAAGTGATACTTCATGATACGAGATTTTAGTGTTTCTGCTATAATCACGAAACTTTCGTCATCGCTTAATTTAACACCATTCGCAAATCCGAGGTCACGTAACAGCACTTCGTTTTTCTTATTAGCTGCATTATAACGTAATAATCTACAAATGAAAAAAGTTGTAACATATGTATACATGCATATGCGTGCGCATGTAAAAAATTTTGCATAGTTTTATAATATAGTAATACAAGTTCCATATTTATATTGATATTCTTATTACCTTCCTGATGGATTGGCTAAAGATATATGAAATCCCTCATACAGAGGGAAATCTGTATTGCTGTCAGTCCAGTAAAGATCTCCATTTTCCGCAACATCTATGCTGTTAGGAAGCATTGGTTTTTTGCCGTCAATTGATTTAGTGATGTTTACTAGGTTTTTATATTCTTTGGTTGAGATATCTACTTTGAAAAGTCCATAATAACAATCCATTACGTATAGGTTGCCTTTCTTATCAAATTTAAATCCCAATGGCCTGCCACATATGTGTTCCTGCCAAATGCCATCTGCAAATAGATTAATTACAATATAACCATTTGCATATGTTAATATGTATCAATTCTGTATATTAATCTATTACAAGTCTAGTTATATATAAACTTGTAGGATATAATGATAGATACATTTCATTTTTATTTTTATATAAAATAGCAATTATTTTTTTATTAAAAATAATTTTCTCCTGCAAACAGTATCTTGTACTTTATTAAATCTACTACTAATTATATATCTTCCACATATACATTATACATGGAATATATAAGATACGATATAACCATAAAATAAAGATTTTTTACTTTGCATTTATAACTAATCAATTGTTACATATGATTTTATTTTACTAATTATTTTACTAATAATTCCATAGTGGACAATATACAAATTGTATATACACAAAATATAAAGAACTTGATAGATCATCGTTATATTTTGAGAAATAAGTTATACTTAACCTTAGTCAATACAATTTTTTGTGTAAGTTTTATGTACTTTTTTTGTTTATAACGTCGTGTGTTTAGAAAAATAAAAGAATTGAAATGAATAATAAAAGATAAAAATTTGAAATGTTGAACGAGATGAAGCGGAAAAATGTTAACACATACAACTTACCGCATTTTTTGCCAAATTTCACAATCGGTACGACGCGATTTTCTTCTAATCTTATGATATAACCGCCATAAACTCCACTGTACAGTTCACCATTGTAAGAATCAAAAGATTCCGGGCCTACGACTTCACCAACGTATATCCGTTGGGCGCCACGTAGCCGGATTTTTGGGCCTACCTTAGCATCGACAACGTGTGGCAGCACTATACTGAAAACAACAGTTCAAAGGTCAATCGGATGATAAATCAAGAAGTCCAAGTCATTGATATTATACTGCTCGTAATAGAGTCGACGAATATATTTATCTGAGTTGTATCACTTTCGCAGGAATGGCAATCATATGTAGAGCTCAATTATCTTACAATTAATAGATACAGACGTACCTGGCCTGTATCTATTATTTTTTCTCTAAAAAACAATATTTTAGAGCCGATACCTGTATTCATCAAATTCCACATGCGGCGGTAAGCCCGGCAGGAATGTGATTAACGCCAAGAATACGCCGACGTAGATGACAAAGGTGCCGATTGACTTGAGATAACTCATCTTCGTTGTAGTTGTACAATCACTCGACGATACTAGCGATGTGGATGATTCTTTCTCTGCCCCGTGATGGAATAACCACTGTCGCGTGAGCGCAGCACAATTATACCACTCCTTTATAGCTTCAGTTTTCTAATTACCCCCTCCCAATTTTTATCCGCTCAAATTGGACGTCAGCAGAACAAATGCGTCTCGATGCCTTTCGCGTTAATCGTCACGCCGATCGATCAGTAGTGTTTGCTCGATGTGTCAATCCGGGACGATGCGCGAATAACAGCGATTTGAGGTGGAATCAAGATATGTAGAAAGATGCAGTTAGCAACGACGATCTAACTGTTTCTACGCTATACGCAGATAACGGCATCTGTGGCGTTGCTGATCCGCTCGTTCGCTCGGTTGGCTCGCAATGCATCGCGTCGTCAATACAACGGTAGTGGTAGTACGTCGATATGTGCTACGTGCCAAAATAAAAAGAAAAAATGAAAGTCATTGATTTCCGTCGTGACGACAGTATTAGTCGATGGCATTAATCACGATTGTGATCTAATTACCAAAGGAAGAACGCGTGTTACTGTCCAGTGACATTGCATATCTGTGTGCACTTTTGTTACTCGGCTATAAATTTCTTCATAAAAAGGAGAAAATGTATACAACTAGTAATGCATATAAAATATAATGTATAACTAGGATATAAATTATATACGTATGTATATTTAATAGTATGTTACGCCCAAAAGCTTAAGAAATATTTTTTCGGTCATAAGAAATGAATAAGATTCAATAAATCATTATTTTGTAAGTAAGCACAGTAAAGTATGAAAGATATTTTGCAACTTGGAATATCTAATTTTCATATATTAATGAATATTTGTCTTTTTAAAATGTTACATAAATATAAAAATAAATTCCATAACCAAAACTTTGATACATTATAATGCATAAGAAAATAACTCATTCATGAATAGTGTTCAAACTGTTTGGAAATACAAATTTTTTATTTTAATTTACATACTGCAATGCAATTTCTTTTCACTAAACTATTTAACTTTGAAAAGCATCTTTCTGATTGTAGTCATTTATAAAAAATGAATGAATCCATGTGTAATGTTCGTTAACTGATAAATAGAAAACTGAAAATTTTTTCCTAATTCATTTTTATGACATTTTTAACATTATGAAAATTTCGATCTAAGATCTGAAAGATCTCAACTGAAAGATGAGATTGCAGATTGAAGAATCACTGCTTTTCATTTAATTTAATGTTATGACAAAAACTGATAGCAGTGTTATGTCTTGAACATTATTTAAAATTAAAGACTTCCTCACAAAAACGTATGTCAAATCCATGTGGAACGCACGTTACATTTAAATGGAATCCATAAAACCACATGGATTTCGTGTGGACACAACGTTCCTGTTTTCATGGGGTTAAAACTGTAAAATACCTTCATTAAGAAAAGTGGCAAATTGTATGTAGCAGGGATTTTAAAACTATACTTTGATAATGACAGCTGACTCCTCATAATTCATAGTTTAATAGTTCAATAGATGACTCCGAGAACCCTCCTGACCCTTCATTGAACCAGTAACGTGCAGTTAATACCCGTTTCTATCAAGGATGTCTGAAAATTTAATCACTAGTAACCGCTAGTAATCAGCTTAAGGAAAGTTAATATAAATATTGGTTTTTACTAATAATACAATTTACATTTAAATGTACATAACTCATATTTAATTTAAATGTCCAATGACCGTTTAATATTGTTAAATTATAGTTAAAAAATATAACTAGCTCGGTTAGTACTTAAATTGTGTGACCTATATTTATTATGTAATAAGATAATAGAGTAAACTGATAAATATTTCAGGATACTCAAAATATTCTTAGAATTAAATTTAATATCTTTAGAGGTTATTTTGTCAGTTCTTTTATTTTTCATTACATTTTTATATTACATTTTTATATTTTAATAACAAATTCGTTGAAATCGGTTTCTCTATTTCTGAAAAATTTTGTGAATATTTTCTTTGCGTACTTGATTTTTCTTTATTTTTGCTATTTATACGTTTTTTAGTATTATATTAAAAAACATTTCGATACTATTTAATGCTAAAAAGATACTTTCAGAAGATATGATACCGATGATGATGATACCGATAGGCCTGTTCCCAAATTGGTCTCGGAAACTTTGGATTTAAAATAATTATAATGGCAATTTTGAGACTACACACGATACCAATATGAAATGATAAAAATATAAAAATTTATTTTAATACAAAACCTATTTAGTACAAATAAAATATAAACGTTTCGGCCCTGTAATTGACCCTTATCAATAGTTAAAAAATTACGCTTTTATGCGGACCAACATATCGATCTTATCATATCATATCATATTTGATCATATATTGTCTTCTGATGCCGTGTTCCAAAATTCACTGCCAGTACTGAAAATATATAGTTTGTGTCACGCAAATTATAACTTTTCAGCGCTGGCAGTGAATTTTGGAACACGGTCTGAATTGATTGAAACTATACTAAAATACGGCCGCGTTCAGTAGAACAAAGTGATCAGAGGGCGCTTAGTGATTATTGTCTGTGATTGGAGCATTTTTTTAGATTCTTCATAGGCCCAGAAGTATTTACCAATCAGGAGCGAGATTCAGTGGAAAATCTAGTAATGTTGTCCTGTAACTGTTGAGTCTACTGAATGCAGCCAATAACACATTATATTTCGTTCAGCCATGAACTCTATGGCCGGCATTCATAGGTCGGTATTCAGAGTCAGGGGCTCGATTTCTGACGGCGTGCGAGTGAGATGTGTATGCGAAAATGTACAGTTTACGTTACATATAATATAGATTTTCGCATGCGCATCTCATTCGCACGTCATTAGAAATCGAGCCCCAAGTCTAAAGTATGGTCTATAATGGCCATAAGCAGTAAGAAGAAAGCGTGAACAGTAAGAAATGGACCAACCACAGTTGATTATTTTTGTCATAATCGACTGTGATTGGTTTATTTCTTACCGCTTACGCTTACTTCTTACTGCTGTAACGTCCCTCTATGTTAAAATTCCCTATCTTCTCACCAAAACTCACCATACCTTTTTCTACCCAATCAAATCCTTACCTATCATCGACTAATTCAACTGCAACGCCTCCTACAAACACCTCTGCAATCAACAGGTACTTCTGCCGTCTTTTATCGTTAATATAATATAATATCATTAATACTCGAAATTATTTACTGAATTATCATCTATCTTCTTCTTTCTCTCTCTTCCTTCTACTTTCTTGCTTCGTTTACTACGGTTAGTAACCGTTAGATTACCAAACAACTAAATAACATAAAAATAATACTAAATAGCACACTTTGAAATAAAATTAAGGGTCTACAGGAGCCATACTAGAGACTTCTCGCGGAGGCCCGCGAACTAGGCAAAATTATATTGCAAATTATGAACAAAATACGAAGAGAATCACCTTATATGTATGATATTTGCAATCAGGACAAACGTTCGCAGGGTCGTACAGAGCGCTTTTTTGGAAAAAAGTCGAAATAAAAATCGATTAAATAATTTGAATGAACGTTCATCCCGCGGTGCGGCACGAACCTATATTTTCATTTATTACAAATTTTCAAGAACCTAAATGCAAAATCGGGCTCTGTACGATCCTAGATATTAATATAAGGAAGATGTCCATATATGTCTGATAAGCAAATATGATGTATGCGTGGCAAAATTTGTAAGTGTAGATAACACGGAAAGTGTAGCCCAGTTGCACTATAGTGCAGTCTATATGACTTAACCTTCCTGCCTTGCGTTCGTGCGAGTAATGCATTAGGATTAGCGTATATATGAGCAGTGCATAAGTATTGCCGTGTGTATGTGTATGAATACCTTCCAGCTTCCACTTTAAAACATAAGATATTTTATCACGTTGATGATATATGTAACCACCAAATTGATATGGAATATTCCTTGAACTATTATCGAGGTCTCTACAGAGCCAAATTTTGCAATCCGGCCGTCAAAAATTTATCATACATTAATAAAGCATCCGCCGTATCAAGCATCGCTGCGAGTCACTCGAAATATCATTTTACGAGATGCAATATTTCGTCTCTTTGATGATACATATTATTATCAAATTGTTGCAGCATCTTCTTCGTACTATTTCCGAGATCGATACAAAGCCAGATTTTGCAATCCGGTCGTCAAAAATTTATAATATATAAATAAAGCCATCTGTCGTACCAGACGTTGAAGCGAATCAGTCAAGAAATTATTGTAGAAGATGCAAAATTTCACTTCGTTGACGATAAATTTAACCGCCAAATTGTTATAGCATCTTCTTTGAAATAACCCCGAGAAACCTACAGAGTCAGATTTTGCAGTCAGGCCGTGAAAAATGTATTATTATAAATAAATAAAAATGTATGAAGCGTCAGAGCGGATCACGTACAATACCATTTTATAAGAAGAGATCCTCCTCGTTGGCGATATATGTAACCGCCAAATTTATATGGAATATTCCTTGAACTATTCGACTATCGAACTATCGAAGTCCCTACAGAGCCAGATTTTGCAATCCAGCCGTCAAATTTATAATATTTTAATAAGGCGAACGTCGTACGAAACATCGCAGCGAGTCCCGCGAAATACCATGTTACAAGAAAAGATATTTTGCTTCGTTGCACTCATATATTACCACCAAATTGTTATAACATATTTCTCGATCTATTTCCGAAGTCTCTACAAAGCCAGATTTCGCAATCAGGCCATGTAACTTTTATCATAAATAAATAAAGATGCACCAAGCGTCAAGGTGGATCACGCGAATACAATTTCACAAGAAGAGATATTCCGCCTCGTTGACGATATATGTAACAGCCAAATTGATATGGAATATTCCGTGAAGTATTATCGAGGTTCCTACAGGGCCAGATTTTGCAATCTGGTCGTCCAAAGTTTGTGAAAAATAAATGAGTCCGCCGTACCAAGCATCGCAGCGAATCACTCCAAAAATTATTTTACGAGATGCAAAATTTCGCCTCGTTAACGATACGTATAATTGCTAAACTGTTATAGTATCTTCCTTGAATTATCCCTGAGGACTTTACACAGCCAGATAATGCAATCCGGCTGTCCAAAATTTATAATATTGTTGTATCCGAGCCACAAGGTTTGTGGCAGCGTCCGTTGTCCGTGAGCCTTAGGCATCCGATGCTGATTTTGACATCTGAGCGAGAATTATCCTGACGACGGAAAATCGATAAGAAGTAAACAAGAACAGCTGATAGAGAGTCTCCGGCAAGCTGTCATCGTAGACAGACGAGAGAATTCAGAATTATTAAAATAGAGAATTATTCTTGTTTGAAGTTTGAGAAAGTTGCGCTGTATATAGTAAAGCTTGATATTCTTACGCGAGTGTTCTTATTTA